TCGCGCTGGCCGCGGCCGATCGGGATCGCGGCGTCGACCGCCATGATGCCGGTCTGCAACGGCCGTTCCACCGGCGCGCGGGCGATGATCTCCGGCGCCGGGCGCTCGATCGGCCAGCGCCGCTCGCTGTGCGGCGGGGCGCCGCCGTCGAGCGGCCGGCCGACCGCGTCGACGACCCGGCCGAGCAGCGCCTCGCCGACCGGCACGTCGACCACGCGGCCGGTGCGCCGCGCCGCGTCGCCGACTTTCAACGCGGCGCTGTCGCCGAGCAGGATGACGCCGCAATCCGCCACGTCGAGGTTGGCGGCGATGCCCAGCAGGCCGTCGGGAAAGGCGAGCAGCTCGTGGTCGTTCAGGCTGGTGAAGCCGGTCACTCGGGCCACGCCCTGGGCGACCTGGCGCACCGTGCCGCGCTCGTGGACCTCCAGTTCGGCCCGGTGGTGGCGCCGCGCCCGGTCGAGGGCCGCGAAGGTGCCGCGCGAGAGCGCGCGCAACGCGGCAGGGGCGGTCTCGTCGGTCATCCCGCGGCCTCCTCCGCCTCGTCGGCCCCGACCAGGCTGGCCAGACGGCTGCGCACGGCGCCCTCGAGCCCGTCGAGGTAGCTGTCCAGGCTCCAGCGCAGGCTCTGGCTGCCGACCTGCAGCTCGAGCCCGCAGAGCAGCTCGGCGTCGCTGACGTAGTCCACCTCGGCCTCGCGGCCGAGCCAGCGGCGCAGCGCCTTGGTGATCCGGCCCTTCGCCTCGGGCGAGAGGTCGAAGCGGCTGCGCAGTCGCAAGGGTCCGTCGCTCTCGGCGAAGGCTTCGGCGACCCGCCGTTTGCGCGCGTCGTCGAGATCCTCGAGCTCGCGCAGGAAGGCGCCCGCCATCTGCGCCTCCAGGTCGGCGTCGGCAAGGTGCGCCAGGGCCTGGCGGGCCAGCAGGAAGAACTCCTGCGCCGAGCGCCGGCGCAGATCGTCGAGAAAGCTGTCCTCCTCGGCGCGCAGCCGCTCGAGCCACTCCCGCTTCTGCGCCTCGACCCCTTCGCGTGCCTCGCGCTCCAGGGTCTTGCGCTCGGCCGCCGCCTCTGCGCGGGCGTCTTCCAGAAGCTGCTCCTGCTCGCGCGCCAGCTCGGCCTGCTGGTCGCGGTAGCGCTGCGCCTCCTCTTCGGCCTGGCGCTTGCGCTCCTCGGCGTCGTTCAGGCGCGCGGCGATGCGCTGCTCGCGGCGCTGCATGGCGCGCATGATCGGGCGGTAGAGAAAGCGCTGCAGCAGCCAGACCAGAACCAGGAAGTTGACGATCTGCGCGGCGACCGTGAGCCAGTCGATCTGCATGGTCGCCTCAGCCGGCTTGTCCGGCCACCAGGTTCCAGAAGGGGTTGGCGAAGATCAGGATCATCGCGACGACAAAGCAGTAGATCGCCGTCGATTCGATCATCGCCAGGCTGACGAAGAGCGTGCGGGTGATCCGGTTGCCCTCGTCCGGCTGCTGCGCGATGGCGCTGAGCGCCTGGGCCGCGGTCCGGGCCTCGCCCAGCGCCGGGCCGATCGCGCCGATGGCGATGGTCAGGCCGGCGGTGAAGATGGAGACGGCTGCGATGACGGTGGCGCTGTCCATGGGCGGACTCCCTGTCGTGTCGGGTCAGGAGGGGGGATCGGAGCGGGGCTCGGCCCGGCCGTTCGTCTCGCGGCCGTTCGTCCCGTGGCTGTTCGTTGCGTCGCCGTTCCTGTCCCCGCTATGGCCGCGCGTCGCCGAGGCGATGTAGACCATGGCCAGCACGGCGAAGATGTAGGCCTGGATCAGGCCGGTCAGCAGGCCGAGAAGCTGCATCACGATGGGAAAGAAGAAGGGCGCGATGCCGATCAGGATGGCGACGATCACCGTGCCGCTCATGACGTTGCCGTAAAGGCGGATCGCCAGCGCCACGGTGCGCGAGATCTCGCCCAGCACGTTGAAGGGCAGCATGAAGAAGGTCGGCCGGACGTACTTGCGCAGATAGGCGCCCAGGCCGCGCTCGGCGACACCGAACAGCGGTACGGCGAGCAGCACGCAGAGCGCCAGCGCCGTGGTGGTCGAGAGCGAGCCGGTGGGCGGGCGAAAGCCCGGCACCACGGCCAGCAGGTTGGCGGTGGCGATGAAGAGGAACAGCGTGCCCACGAAGGGCAGGAAGCGCCCCGGGTCCTGCTGGCTGACCTCGCGGATCTGATCGCGCATGCCGGTGACCAGCACCTCCAGCAGCGTCTGCCAGCGCGAGACGCGCTCGCCGTCCGACAGCCGCCAGGTGACGATGCGGGCGATGAGCGCCAGCAGTGCCATCACCGCCCAGGTGAAGACCAGCGTGGCGTTGAGCGCGACCGGCCCGAGCTGCCAGAAGACGACCTGATCCGGCGAGATTTCCATGGTCCGGCCCCTCAGGCCCCGCCCGGGCCGGCCGCCGCGCGCGGCGGCGCCATCAGCCGGGTGGCGAGCAGGCGCGCGGTGAGGACGCCGAGCAGGGCGGCCAGCAAACGCTCGGGCTGGCCGTCGGCGATCAGGTAGAGGGCGCCGAGCAGCAGCCCCAGCCGCAGCGCCGCGCCGCCACCCAGGCGGAGCCACGGCCGGGCGGAGCGGGCCAGCCCGCGCAGCGAGGCCCACAGCAGGCCGAGATAGGCCAGACCCGCGAGAAAGCCGAGCGCCAGGGCGGTGGCAAGGGCGAGGGGATCGAGGGTCAAGACGGCTCCTTTCCCCCTTGGCGGCGCAGTAGATAGCGCACCACCGGCGGGGTCAGCAGGCAGGTGCCCAGCGCGGTGAAGACCATGGCGCCGTAGAGCGTGTCCGGCACGGCCCAGGCGCCGAGCGCGCGGCCGCGCTCCATGACGATCAGGGCGATCTCGGCGCGCGGCACCATGCTCACGCCGATCAGCAGGGCGCTGCCGCCCGTGGCCAGCAGCGGCAGCGCCGTCCCCGCCACCTTGCCGAGGATCGCCACCGCCAGCAGCAGGCTGCCGAGCCCGACCGCGGCGGGCAACGCGCCGAGCGCCACGTCGAGGCCGATGCCGACGAAGAAGAAGGGGACGAAGAAGCGATAGAGCGTCTCGAAGGCATGGTCGAGGCGCACCCGCGCCGGGTCGCGGCTGAAGGCCAGGCCGCCGAGCAGCGCGCCGATGGCCAGCGAAAAACCGAGGGCATCGGCCAATGCCGCCACCACCAGGGCGAGCCCGGCGATCGGCACGATGGTCACGGTCCGGCCGGCGCAGCGGGTCAGCCAGCGGGTCAGGCGGCCCTCGGCATAGCGCGCGAAGAGCAGGCAGGCGGCGCCGAAGGCCGCCAGCTTGGCCAGCAGGTAGGCCGCCACGCCCGCGGCCTCCGGCATCTGGCCGGCACCGCCGGCGGCATAGAGCACCGGAGCGAGGGAGAGCAGCAGGGCGAGCAGCAGCACGGCGGCCACGTCGTCGAGCTCCGCGAGGTCGAGCAGCAGGGCGCCGTCGTCGCTGTCCACGGCGTCGGCCTCGCGCCAGACGGCCAGGGACACCCCGACGCTGGTCGCGGCCAGGCTGACCGCCACGAAGAGCGCCTGGACCACCGTGCCGCCGAGGGCGTAGCGCACCGCCAGGTAGCCCAGGCCGGCGCTGGCGGCGAGGTTGCCGAGGAAGGCGAAGCTCGCACGCGGGAGCTGGCGCATCAGCTTGCGCGGGTTGCTCTCCAGGCCGACCCGGAACAGCAGCAGCACCACGCCGGCCGCCGCCAGGGTGTCGAGGCCGTGCTCCACCTGGCGCGAGAGGAAGGCGAGCTGGGAGTCGGCCGCCTTGAGCAGCAGGCCGATGGCGATATAGCCGACGACGTCGGCCAGGCCGATCCGCTCCAGCCCGCTGCGCAGGAGCGTCGAGGCCACGGCGACCAGGCCGATGACCAGCAGCGCGAAGGCGTAGGGGGAGGCCGCCTCATTCATCGGGGCTCTCCCGCTTGACCCAGTACCAGGCGTTGAGACAGCCAAGCAGCACGCCGACGAACAACAGGGTCAGGGTTCAGGAAATGCGCCCCGGGAACTGCGTGTCCAGCCAGACCCCGAGCGCGATGGCCAGCAGGGTGGGCAGGGCGACCGACCAGCCGACCAGGCCGAACATGCCGAGCCCGAACCAGACGACGCGGCCGCGCTCGCCGCGCGCCTTCAGCTTGCGCGCCGCCTTGCGGCCGATCTCCTCGCCGCGGTCCCGGCCGCGGCGCGGCGGCGGTGCGGGGGGCGGCGCGGATGTGCGAGGCCGCTCGGCCATCAGCCACGCTCCTGCAGCTCGATGAAGCGGCGCACCACCCCGGCCTCCAGGCGCGCCAGCGCGACGCGCGAGGCGCGTTCGCGCTCGTCGAGCTCGAGGAAGCGCTGGCGCACGGTCTGGCGCAGCGTCTCCAGATCGTCGCCGGGCACGGCGCTGCGCACCGACACCAGCACCTCCGCGCCGCACTTGACCAGGATGCCGGCGTCGATGGCCAGATAGCGTTCGAGGCGGGGCGCCGAGCGCTGCCCGGCGCCCGCGTCCCCCGGCGTCGCGCCGCCCTCGCCGGCCGTCTCGTACAGTAGGATGCCCGGCGCCAGCGCCGCGACGAAGTCGATGTGGCGCGGCAGGATGCCGAAGGCGCCGTTCTCGGCCTCGGCCACGACCTTGGCGACCGGCCGGTCGACCAGTACCTCCATGGGCAGCAGAACCTTCAGGCGCATGGGGCGTTCCTGGCATCCGGGCGGGGGGCGGCGGCGGTCATGGCGCGGCTCACTCCGTCTCGGCGTGGCGGGGCTCCGCCGCCGCGTCGGGAGAGGCGCCCTCGTTGTCCGCCTCGCTCTCTTCGTTGCCTCCCCCGGCGGCGGCTTCGGCCTCGGCCAGCGTCCCGATCATGTAGAAGGCCCGCTCCGGCCAGTCGTCCAGCTCGTCGTTGAGGATGCGCTCGCAGTCCGCGACCGCCGCCTCCAGGCCGACCGTGCGGCCGTCGGTGCCGGTGAAGGCCTCGGTGGTGAAGAAGGGCTGGGTCAGGTAGCGCTCCAGGCGACGGGCGCGGGTCACGGTGCGGCGGTCCTGCTCCGACAGCTCCTCCAGCCCCAGCATGGCGATGATGTCCTTCAGGTCCTCGTATTCGGCCAGGGCGTGGCGCACGTCGCGCGCAACGCGGTAATGGCGCGCGCCGACCACCTGTGGGGTCAGCATCTTCGAGTTGGACTGCAGCGGGTCGATGGCGGGGTAGAGTCCCTGGCTGGCCCGCTTGCGCGACAGCACGATGGAGGCGGAGAGGTGGGCGAAGGTGTGGGTCGCCGCCGGGTCGGTGAAGTCGTCGGCCGGCACGTAGACCGCCTGCACGGAGGTGAGCGAGCCGGACTCGGTGCTGGCGATGCGTTCCTCCAGCGCGGCCAGCTCGGTGCCCAGGGTCGGTTGGTAGCCGACCCGCGAGGGAATCCGCCCGAGCAGGCCCGAGACCTCCGCGCCGGCCTGCACGAAGCGGAAGATGTTGTCGATCAGCACCAGCACGTCCTGGTGGGCGTCGTCGCGGAAGTACTCGGCGAGGGTCATGGCGCTGTGGCCGACACGAAAGCGCACGCCGGGCGACTCGTTCATCTGGCCGAAGACCATGACGGTCTTGTCCAGCACGCCGGCCTCGTGCATCTCGCGGTAGAGTTCCTCCGCCTCGCGGCAGCGCTCGCCGATGCCGCAGAACAGGCTGATGCCCTCGTAGCGGCCCACCATGTTGTGGATCAGCTCGGTGATCAGCACGGTCTTGCCGACGCCGGCGCCGCCGAACAGCCCGGCCTTGCCGCCGCGCTCCAGCGGGCAGAGCAGGTCGATGGCCTTGATCCCGGTCTCGAACAGCTCCGCGCCCACCTGGCGCCGGGCCAGCGGCACCGGCCGGCCGTGGATCGAGCGGCGCTCGGCCGCCTCGAGCGGCGGCCGCTTGTCGATCGGCTCGCCGAACATGTTGAGCATGCGCCCGAGCACGCCGCGCCCGACGGCGATCTCGATCGGCCCGCCGGTGTCGGTGACCGCCATGCCCAGGGCCAGCTTGCGCTCGGCGTTCAGCGCCAGACCGCGCACCCGGCGGGGGCCGAGCAGCGCGGCGACCTCGATGACCACCTCGCCGTCGGCGCCGCTGCGCAGCATGCTGTTGATCGCCGGCAGGCCGCGCGCGAAGTGGATGTCGACCACCGAGCCCTGCAGGGCGACGATGCGGCCTTCCTCGGCCGTCCCTGCGTCGGCGCGCCGGCCGGCGTCCGCCTCGCCGGTCGCATGCGGCTGCGCGGTGTCGTCCGTCGCGGTGTGACCCTGGGCGGGCATGAGGCACTCCAACCGGTTCGGCGCAAGGCGGAGATCACGCCGTCGCGCCTGCGACCGCTGTCGGGCACTCTAGGGGGCTTGGCCCGGCCCAACCTTGAGATCGATCAATGAGCGCCGCCGCCCGCCCCAGCCGCCGCCC